GAAATAGGAAGTAACATTTATTGGTACATATTATCATTCCAAAAATCACAAACACACAGGCAACCAGTAATCATAAGTATTGTGAGTCATCTATCAGTTTCCTCTGACAACATCAGCTAAATATCTGTTCAAAAAGCACATATAAATCCTACTAGTAATTTAACGTCTGTAATTAAAATTATCCAGATATCTTAATTATCAAATTCAATTTTTTTTCTTGTTTGTTTTATTTCTCTTCTCTTCAATCCTGACCCCCCAGAGGGAGTGTAGTGGTCGACGTGATGTCGTGTATTGTCCGTCTCCAGAGATCTCTGTCTCTGGTCATTTCTTTTAATTCATGCATAGGTCTTTGGCATAGTCCTGTAATTTGATCTATCCATCTTGTTAGGGATCTTCCTCGTGATCTTCGGCCTTCTACCTTTTCTTGTATTATGAGTCTTTCCATGTTTTCTGTGTTTGCTCTCATAACATGCCCAAAATATTTTAATTTAAGACTCCTGAACTTTTTATATAGATATAAAATATCAACTTGTTTTTGAAAAGGTTTGTTGAATTTTCATTTGTCTTTCTTTATATTTACAATTTTTGTGGTTCTTTATAGAGTAATTATATTTATTCTGCCTCAGCTTTTAGTCCTACTACAATATTCGTTCTAAAATGTATGTCACCCTCGATATTTTTCGTATATTTTTCTATTTTTTAGTAGTATAACTACAAATTTTCCTCTTGTGGTATTTATTAAGACCATTTTTATAAGCCGAAGGTAACATGACATAAAAGTCTTTATTAAAAAAGGTTTGCTGTCCAAAAATAGGATGTGAAGAAATAAAAAAACAATCGTATCAATATTTTATTATGTACAACTATATAACAATTTTGTATCACATTTCAAATTCATGGTTGCTCGTTTCTTTGTTTCAAATAGGATGTTTTTGCCGAATATATCAACAATATTTCAGAAATATTAAAGTATATTGGAATTCTTTAACAATTTTGTTTCAGTCAACTTGCGGCCAATATAAACTTTTAACTCTTTGAATACAAACTTTCTTAAATCTAGTGTTACATCAGATAAATTACTACGAGATGAGAATTCTTGAAGTTAATAACACCATTTAGTTTAAAAAATATTATTTTTTAAATACTATTTTTTAAATAATATTTTTCTTGTATCGATTTAATTGATACAAGAAAAAAAAAGAAAAACCGTTATAAATAAATAAATGTATACAGATTACGGAAGATGAAAGGGCTATTTGGAACTATCTCGAGAATTAAAGGTAACTGAATTATGAAATTTTAAATGAAGGGGTTTTGAAGAGTGGACTGTTGAATAAAAATATTTTTATCTATTGTCCACTTCCGGTTATATCGGAAGTTGTTTATACCTTCGCTTTTTTTTAATGGGACACCCTGTATATTTTTTAATTTTAGGTATATTTACGATATTTTGAACATTTTTTTGTAAATACTTTCCTATATCTATTGTGAACGGTTTTTGAGTAAAATTGCTGTTTTATGAAAATTACACTTTTCTACAATGTATATAAAGTTCAATATCCTCTAGTGCAATTTCGATAAAAAATTACCTTCCTTAGGAACTTATTGACCACATACAGTTTTATCGTTTACAGTATAAAGTTGTCTTTTTCATTGTACAGAGTGCTGTCAAAATTGGCATAAAGCGGTCATCCTAAATTTTTGCCTAATTCCAGCTTTTTAAATGGGACACCCTTTATGTGATTCATTATTTTAAAAGGATACGTTTCCTACTATCAGTTTTGAAATAAACTAACTTTATACTTCACTCCATTGTGAAATATATTTTGAATTTGAGTTTCGTTGCAGGAGGTTGTTTTTGACAAGTGAAAACAATGTCTTCTATAAGCAGGTGTTTAATTAGTTGTCAGAGCAAGACAAATCTTGCACTCCACAAGTAGCATAGTGTACAAAACTTGTGTTAAAAACTTGAGGCAATGGACAAAAGGACAACGAAAATGATTAAAGTTTGGTGTTCATTTGGTTTGGAGGGAACCAAAAAACCATTTTAACGATTGCTATTTCTGTTTTTTGAATTTAAAGGGCATTAATCGTGACAATCGACATATATGGACATATTCTAACATGTATTTAGCAATAAGACCTATTCCATATCAACTTGACCCATTCCGATATTTACTAGTCTACCTACGTTGGCAGAGAATGAATATCTCAACGTCACTGACGAACTACAAACATACATTTGGGAGAAGCCACAGTGATTTTGAAGGAGATTCAACACATCCTAAATACTTTACTCAAGATGAGCTAAATGATCTTGCTAGAGAATTTAACCTTCCAAATTAATCTTCCGAGTTGCTTGCCTCTAGACTAAAGGTAACCGAAAAAAAAAACTTTTGTCGTTTTTTTCTTAGCAAGATATGAGTTTTTGTAACAATATTCATGGACTGTCAGAAAAAATGGGTATATCAGAGTATACACCAGATCACTGGCGTTTGTTTATCGACACTTCCAAATGAAGTTTAAAGTGTGTCATTCTATATAATGGCAACAAATATGGAAGTACACCAATTGCATATTCTACAAAAATTAAGAAAGAATATAAAACAATATCGCTGGTGCTAAATAACATCAATAACCAACATCATTGGGTGATCTGTGTTGATTTCAAGATTGTGAACATTTTTCTAGGATAACAAGGTGAATATACAAAGCATCCTTGTTTTTTGTGTCTTTTGGATAGCAGGGCTAAGATCCAACACTGGAGTAGAACAAAATGGTCGACTAGAGACTCTTTAATTCAAAAACAAGCTCTAAAGTAATTAATGAAGTATAGGTCAAATAAGAGAAAATAACACCTATCTCCGTTGCATATTAAACTAGTGATCATGAAACAATTTGTAAAGGCCTTAGATGAGAACAGTCATTGTTTTGAACACTTTTTCGGTAAATTCCCTACACTTAGTACAGAAGGAAGCCATGCTCAAGAATTAATTGCCTCCACAGCCACTTAGACCGTTTCCAAGAAAACCTTGGTGGCTTTAGTGAGAAAGAAAGGGAATGATTCCACCAAGGTACCAAAACAATGGAACAGAATCAGGTGAAACAGGACACTCACATGATGGCCGATTACTGCTTTCTAGGAATTGGCTTTTTAAATCCTTTGCAAGAAAATCATATAAAAGGTAGTATTTAGCTGACGCCAAATAACAGCTTTGTGCTGCGATGTTGGTTAGGTTAGATGAAAAGGTTCAGGTTTTTGGGAAAAATGTTTGATGATTTTTGAACCTACAATATACTAAAATAAACATCTTTCTTTTCATTCGTATCTTCTATTTTTGACGAATAGCAGCACTATATATGTAGGTATAATCCGACAAGCGAGAGCTGGCGGGTGACCTGCTCGAAAATAGAAAAGGAATTATTCTAAGAGAGATAGGAGAGGTACTTAATCGTGATTATAGGTATATAGTATAGGTACTTAAACGGTTATACACGATGTACACGATGTACATGACTTAAACGGTGAACACTTTTCAATTTCTTCTACGCGCAACCCGCCAGCTCTCGCTTGTCGGGTTATAACGCTACTTTAAATTACATTAATTAATTTTAAAAATGTGATATGTTTTCCTATTTTGTGAAAACGACCTGATGAAGCAATTCTGATGGCATTTTTGCCTTTAGCAGACCCAAATTACCTAGAAACAGTGAAAAAATTTCCGACGGCAAATTGTGTGTTTACCAGTGTAATCTATTATCTAGGCTAAAAAAGAAGCTTAAGAATACAAATGTAACAAAATAAAAAGATTCTATTAATGAAAGTAGTAACAACAGAAATAAGGAGTTGGTAATGTAGGTTTTGAAAAATAGTGAGACCAAAAATTTATAAAACAAGACTGGGCCCAGAGACTAAAATCTTCATAGTAATATTTTTAAGGCTAGAGTGGACTTCCAACACAGTTTTTAGCATAAGAACTATCTTATGTCATATGAACACGAATCACTCCATAGTGTCAAATTGGTGATATCCTTGTCAACATTAGCCATAATATGTTTACATAAACAAGATGAAACTTCCTGAGCGCCCCGACCAGCTTGTCCCTCTATCCAAACATAGCAGAAGCCCTTTCCACTCTTGCAACTGTGGATTTCGCAATTGTATAACATCAGTTGTCTTTTGTAGAACATGATGTTAGTTGGAATATGCAGCAAAGGTAGAGTTTTCTCCAAGTCAAAGGTTAATGTCTCTGAACTCTTTTGCAAAATTGAAATCGTCTTTCATTAGAACTTGAGCTAAGTTTGCAAGTGCCACATGCTTTTCCTGAAGTTTCTGTTTTTTAGTACTATTTTCAGCATCATTAATCTGTAGAATAAGTGTGTCACATTGTATGTGTGTTTATACTTGCTGAAAGACACTGGATTGCTGGACTCATTTTTATATAAATCATACATTTTCATTAGCGTAATATCAGTTGGCAAGTACAAAGACTCTGTATTGTTTCGTCGATAATGACTTTTCTACTTTGGAAATTTATTTCCATGTTCCAATTTCCAATGTTTTACTACATCATTTTTTCGGGAATCGGAAGTTTTATTGAGCCCCCCTTTAATGCCTCTTTTGTTTAGGAAAGAGTTAGAACGCATTTTTTTAAGTACTGTGTCTATACGTTTAGTAGAAATTCGCAAGCTTTATACAAAAAAATTTCTACATATGTACTTCTTTTTCAGCCATCATCACTGGTTACTGGTTCTTTTTTGTAAAATGCAATATGGCTCCTTTAATTCATTTTATTAAACACAGATGTAGTTAGTTCCCTCTGGCAAAACACATGACTAACTTTATGTGGTTGGATCCTAAATGCAATTATCAAAAGGATAGTTACGTAAATGGTAGTTGATTCAAACTGTTTTAACACAAAATATTGATGCTGAAGATATTGGTTCTTTTTTGCTAAGCAAAGTTTGAACCTTCCTTATGCCATATAAGCAATAATATTAAATTTTATATTTTGGTGGTTGGTTCCTTCTTGCATAACTACGTCAAAAGTCCAAATATAGTTTAGAACATTTTCATACAGTATTTTCCTCTCAAAGAGATAAATAGAGCAAATAAAAAAATTACAAAGGTATTTTAAAAACTGTGATATAAAACATTGTAAATCTCGACTTGATGTTTTGTGTATACCGTCTAGTAATAATGTTGATTTTAAAGATATCTACAGGACATAAAAACGCAAATACAATTCATAATACAAAAATACAAATAATATTTATAAAACAGTTTGACATTTCCTTGAATAGGATTAACTGATTCATATTGATATTAATCAAGATATAACACTTCAAGAGAAAGAATAAATAAAGAATATATTGGAAAAACGGCAATTTTTTTTTAATTTGAACAAACTTATTTTTGTTCTAGTATATTATATCTGATATAACACTGGATATTTAATTTAACATGAAACAGGTGCTCCAACAAACGCGGAATAGACGATTTCTTAGAACGAGCCCATCGGAACACCCCGTAATCAACGGAAAAGTCTATTAATTTTATCTATATCATAAACTTCTCTATTGCATCCTAAAAAAACTGAATCATTAAAAGAAAACGCTTTTCCGAAATTGCAGATGTTCTGTAACGATTTCCTTTCCTCGTAAGATTCTAACGCATCCTGACTTTTTTCATCATCTGAAGGACCTGCAATCCTGGGAAGGGGCATGTAGGATAAAAGTTATGGCAACCGTTTCCGTCGACTCCGTTTATTAGCTGGCCCATATGGGCGGCAAAATGGTATTTTGATGTCAGTTCGGCAGTTGTACTGATAGTTGTATCTCTGAAAACAACACAAACACATAAGATTCTAAAAGTGTATACACAATATCCCGTAAAGTTTACCATTTTATTTTATAATTTGAAAACTTTACAGCCAATATCATATTACATTATTTAATAGAATATAATAAGTATTATATTTCTGTACTCTGGAGGTAAAGGACACTATGTCCATTTTCTTACTTTTTCAGGAGAGCAGTTTTAACTTTTTTTAAATTTGTAATCAGTAAATACTCAAATGTTGCTTATATTTAACCAAGATTAATATATTATTATTTTTGTATGTTTAATCGTTTTTCCTTCCATGAAGCGTTATGTAGCTGAAGTTTACCGTTCATTATATAATATTTTTTTATTTGCAATATGTTGTTGGACATAGTTGTTGTTTACTTCTAAATACTTTTTTAAATATACTATAAACATATACTATTATGGTATTAGGGACAAATATTATAATGTAATAATTAAGTAAAATTGAAGAGGTTGCAACTGACAATTTTTCATAAAGTGATGTTTTAATGTAAAATGGTTACTTATACAGTTTAATATACAGTCGTGCTATCCTTTAGTCGCTAGTTGAATTAAACTATTATAATTTTTAGTACTGAAATTTGAGGTCAGTCTAAAAAGGTTACATATGTAAGAAACATGGCAGAAACAACGTCTATTTCTCCAATGTGTAGTGTTTCAAAAAAGGCAAATAAGGGTAAAAAACGAAAAATACACTATGACCAATGGCAGCAGGTAAAGAATAAAAGGTTAAAGGATAGTGGAAAAAGTTATATGGGCCACAAAAATATTGTAAAAGCCGAAAAACAGTGTCCAAATGAACTGAGTCTAAAAACGTTACATGTGTATACTCTAACCTTAAATGTTTTTCCTGCGTTTTTGTTGTGTATTACAGCACGTCTATTTTAGGATTCAATTTGTTCGTTAACTTGCAACTATGATGGTTGTTCCGTGCTTAACCAGAATTTGGAAGTAAAAGTTGATATATTTAATCGTTTTTACCAGTATTCTTATAATGAGCAGCAGCGATTCCTTGCAGAGTGTATGGAGTTAAGAAAACCTAAACGAAGGATTGTGCCTGAAGATATATCCAAACGCCAATGTACTATTAAGTATTCACTTCCAGTAAATATTATTACTTCACAACGGCAGCAGGTATGTCAAAAACAAATTATATCTGTTTTGAATTTAACTCGGCGGAGATTGCAGCTTCTTGCAAGTAAAGTTAAGCAAGGTCTCAGCATCGACGATGGTCGTGGTAAACATAACCATAGACCACGAAGTATTCCTGATGCAGATCAAGAGCTTGTCATTACGCATATTTCTTCTTTTCCTTGCCAAGAAAACCATTATTCGAGAAACTCAAATAAAAAGAAATGTCTTGCTCCAGACCTATCCATAACTAGGATGTACCAATTATTTAGAAATAAGTATCCTACCACAAGGGTGAAATTACACTTGTATAGGTCAATTTTTCACGACAAATTTAACTTAAGATTTGGTGTTCCAGATCTGATACATGTAAAGTTTGTGACAAATTTTATATACAAATGGTTGCAAGCCAGAATAATGAAGAGTTAAAGCAGCTACAATTTCAGTCAGAACTGCACTACAGAAAAGCAGAAAAGGCTTACAAAACGTTGGTAGAAGATACACAGGCAGCTATTGAAAATGAAAATTTGGTTGTTCTCTGCGTTGATTTGCAACAGATCCTTTTTACTCCTAATCTAAGCCATTCAGATATATATTACTTGAGACAATATTCTAATTATAACTTTTGTATTCATAATATGGGGAAAAATAGAGCAACAATGTGTGTTTGGCATGAAAGTGTAGGAAAACGGGGATCAGGGGAAATTTCCTCCGCACTATTTCGCTACATTCAAAATAATTTTGAAATCCTGGGTCTACATCAGGAGAGAAAACTTATAGTATGGTCTGATAGGTGTGTAGGACAGAACAATAATTGGCGGATGGCAGCTTTGTATCATTACCTAGTTTCATTGCGTTATTTCACAGAGGTCAATCAGAAATTTCTAGTCACAGGACACAGTTTTCTTCCATGTGACCGCGATTTCGCCATTATTGAAAAGTTTAAGAAAACGGCAACCCTTCATGACACTCAAGATGTTGTAAATATGATTAGGAATATAAGAGAAAAGAATCCATTTGATATTTTGGAAATGGAAGGACAATTTTTGGGTATGTCGTCGATTGAACTGCAGATCTATAAACATCCCGATATCAAAATTACTGAAGCAAGATGGATCCAGTTTACTAACGACGAACCAACTGCCATTCGGATAAGAACATGCCACAATCCAATGCAGAACTGGATGGTTTATAATATAATAAAGAAACCCAAAGGAAAGAGATCCCAAACTGCCTCATTACCTGTGTACAACATAGTTGACCCTATCGATCTGCCAATCCTTTATCCTAATAAACTACCTATTAATGCCTCAAAAATGGCTGATCTTTTAAAGCTTATAGATTACTTACCTCCATATAAAAGAACTTTTTATCAATCGTTAGATAGTGCAGATCCAAATGTTATGTAGGATAAACACTTAAAAATTGAAAATAAAATAAAATCATACATTTTTTTGTATTGTTTATATTAATAAACTATTTGTTTAATATTACATTTTACCGTGCATTTATTTTTCCTGTAATACTCCTTTAATCTAAACTGCGTTTTGTTGTAAAACGTTTCAAGTACATAATTAATATTAGTTAGTTTTAGAAAGTTTCTATTGTTTTCTTCACTTCCTGTAAAAAAGTGATTTTGCTGTTTGCAACCTTTTTAGAGGGAGATATTCAATTATAGACGATGAGTCTCAAACTTGTTAAAGTTTTTTCATATCATCTTCATCTTCTTGGGGGTAATCGTTTGTGGCTACATCGCTATGTGTTAAATTTTAATAAAACGCATGACAAACCGACGAAAAAAGGCAATAGTGCAATTAAGTTATTGTACTTTTGTTTTGTGATTGGTAATGAGATTACAGGGACTTAATTTAATTGGGCTGGAAACGTTACTTGCTGTCTTCGATACCTCATGAAGTCCACCTCATACATATTTTTATTATTGGAATCGGTCTTATAATAGAGCTTTCCAATGTGTTCTTGTTGGACTTGTAGCAAAACACATGCTGACAGTAGAACAGGCTCTTTGTTAAAATTCTTGTTTCTACTTAGAAAGGAGGATTAGGTGACAGTTTCTTATCGAATAATTTTTTGAAGTTTTTAAAATCTGCAAGTTCCATATTGTGCACTGTATATTTACCTGATGTTTGCCTAATAGCTGTTGCCAGTCCCATGGTCGTAAATGGCTAAATTGGAGAGTTTCCTATTTTTTCTCTCGATCAAAGCATAAACAGTGTCTGCTTCCATGTGTGTACCCTTTCAAAAACTTTTCAGTGATCTTCATTATTTGAGGGTACGTATGCAGTATTCAAAAATAGCACATTATA